TCGTTTTTCATCAGGCCTGCAGGTTCCTTTCCCACTCCAGCCTCTTTCTTTTCTGTTTACCTTTCTTTGCATCTCCTCCACTCCCCATAGTTCCTGTTCCATCTTCTTTTTTCTTTTTCCTTTTCTTTCCTAGCCTGGGTAGTAAATCTGAAATCTTCTTCTCCTTAATAAAGTTCTTGATACCTGCATTTGAAATATATATACATTCATTCTATGATTAAGATCTTGCTGTGCTATGGCCCTGTTTGAGAGACATATTCTTAACGTCTTAAATGAAGTTCTTGATTTTATTTTCTCATATTTTTATATGAATAATAGAGATATGGGGTACTAGACATTTTCAGAATTTGTATATCTGTTGAAAACCCAGCATGGCATGTCAAGAGTACCCAAATGTTTGTGAAATTAAATTAATAATTATCAGTAATTATCCTACTGTGTAGTACATGATGCCTTACTGTTAATTGTAAATATGCTTTTCATTGCCACTAATCTTCCATTACCAGACAGGGAATAAACAAATAGTAAAGGAAGTAATTAAATACATTGTAGTAAATTGTATATAATCATTGAAAGTTAGGTTTTTGATGAATATTTAGTTTCATTGAAAAGTGCTGAGAGTATAATGTTAAAACAGAAAGATTCTGAATATTTGAAGATTTATTTAAACCATACATGGGAAAGGGGCAAGAAAGAATAAGCTGTTGTTTTACCTAGATTTTTAGCATTGCTGGGGATTTTTTTTTTTCATTTTCCAGATTTTTGAAATGAGTATATCAGAGAAAGATATTTATAATAACTAATTTCCAAAGTCTTACCTATAGGACTTTCATGTAAATGATACCCATTTTGTTAAGATTTTTTTTTGTTTAGCCTTATTGAATTTTTGGTTCAATTAATAAGATACTCAAATTTTGAAGACCAAAGAAAAATTATCATAGAAAATTAAATTCCGACATTTATAGCATCATTCTGTTTGTAGAAAAAGAAATTTTGATTATGCATTGTAATAAGTAAAAAGCAGTGAAGAGTTGTCTCTGGATTTGAATACTGTCTCTACCACTATGGTTGAATGGCCTTGGACACATAACATAATTAACTTTCTAAACCCTTTGTTTCCTCAACACAGAAGAGTGGGTATGGGGATAATAATTGTACCCATCTGGCAGTAGTGTTTTAAGAATTATGTTGACTTAATAAGCATTTTTACTCAGAAGAGAGGTTGTTTGTATCGTTGGGGATTGAACACATATCCTCACATACACTAGGCAAGCACTCTACCACTAATCTACATCCCCAGCCCTTGAACAGTGAATTTTTTAGGATTTTTCCTGTTTTATTTTGGACTAATTGTTTTTATTGTACTAATTTTGTTTCATGGAAACAATGTGTTCTCATTATAAAGTCCAATGACATTAATGTTTTAAAGTAGAATTTTATTTTACAGTCAAAAAAAGATGCTAAAATTTACCAATTGTTTTTATAATCTTTTTAATATCCTTTTTTTTTCTCACCAGGTACCCTATTAAGAATCAATAAAAAGCTATTAAGTGACTGGTTTTAAACACATTTAAAATATATAAACTGATCAAAAAAGGCAGCAATGAATAAATAAATAAATAAATATTTCCCACCTTCTAGCTTCCATAACGAGTATCATCCTGATTAATGATTGTCCTTTGTATCTAAATTGTATTTGTTTGTGGTACTCAGAATGTTAAATGTAATTGAAAATAATTTCTATAACATCTAGAATCAGCAACTAAGAAACCTAAATGGGATGACTTCAAAAAGAAGAAGAAAGAACTGAAGCAGAGCAGGCAGCTCAGTGACAAAACCAACTATGATATTGTTGTTCGAGCAAAGCAGATTTGGGAGATCTTAAGAAGGTAATGTACCTAATAGCATCCTCATTAGTCCCTTTGAGGCTATATGGAGAAGTAACAACATGCCTTATAATTAGAAATGTCCTAAAATAAATGATGTAGCACTTATGTTATTTGGGAGTACTTGTAACATTCCAGTAGGAGGCATCAGTGTTTGGGTGTCTGCTTATGCAGAAGTGTGTGGAGTCATTAGGACAGTGTCAGATATGTTTATGGGAATATATGAGAGTCAAAATGGATTTGACATCTTTCCTTGGATTTCTGAGAAATGAAGGATACTTTCTTATTGGCTAGGTTTTGAGATACGTAAGTATTTGGTATCATAGACTTATTTTATTATTTTCTTCCCTTCTAAAAGTTCTGGTTGTTAAGATTTAGATTGATCCATAAAATTATACCTTGTGAGATGAGTTTCTGCTTCTGAGAAAATTACTTTTGTCTGACTGCTCTGGAATGGTAATTTTAATGTCAGAGGTTTGCTGCCTTCAAATAGAAAATTATGTTAAACCTGATGAATGTATATTCGTATGGTGTTTAATTCTATATGTTTAAAATAAGTTCTTCATTTAACTGTATGTTCTCCCTCTTCTCATTTATAGAAAAGATTGTGACAAAGAAAAAAGAGTAAAGTTGATGAGTGACTTGCAGAAGTTGATCCAAGGGAAAATTAAAACTGTAAGTAGTGCATACTCATGCATGCAATTTTAAGCCATCAGAGTTGTCTCACTCTTAGGGAAGGGCAGTTAACCATTCATTACAGGGGAACTTTTTATTGTTTCCAGTTTATTTGGCTAAAAATTTCAACTGTCTTTCATAACACTGGCTAAATAAGAATTAATACAGGTTGCATAGCTCTTATCTGAAATGCTTAGAACCAGAATAATTTTGGATTAATTTTTTTCATATTTTGGAATTTGCATATACATAAGAAGATATCTTGGTGATGGAATCCAAGTCTGAATACAGAATTCATTTATGTTTCATTAGACACTTTATATACACATAGCCCAAAGGTAATTTCATGTAATATTTTTAGTGAGCCTGTGTTAATTGCAACCCATTGTCACTTGGGGTCTAAGTATTTTTATATTGTTGCTCTTCAATCCTGTTTTGTAATAAAGTTCCATTGATTCTTAGATTATAAGGCAATATATTTCAATAATTTGAGGGGAGACTGAAGGGATAGTCTTTGCCAACCCATATGCATAGGTCTAACATGCTACATTACAGCATGAGGAAATGTTTTGAAATGTCTAGTCTTCAGCTGTTTCTTTCTTATTAATTCTGTAAGATCCATAGGATGGAATAGCCAGCCCCTCAGCTTTGTCTGTAGTCTTTTATCCTTAGTTTATAAATATTTTATACTCAGAATTCTTTGTCAAATACCCTTAAGTCATTGTAGCATGGTAATGTACTTGGGAGTTAGTCTGGTGCTCAAATTCCACCTCTGTTCATTGAACCATTTGTACCTTTGGACAGTAATAATAACCTATTTATCTATTATTTACTATGAGGAATTGTGCTAATGCATGCACACATTGTTTCATTTAACTTAGTCATTATTCCTTTTGTACATTTGATACATATGGGTCTCAGAGTAGTTTTTTCCGCAAGGTCACAGGGGTGGGTAGCAAGTTCCTTAACTTCTTGTAACCTTACCTTTCTCATTATAAAGTAGGAACAGTGCTCATTCTTAAATTGTTTTGAAATCTAAATAAGAAAATATTATTAAAGCATTTGTATAGGTCAGATAGTAGATACTCAGTATATATAGTAAGGTAAACAACTTTATTTTTAAAAACAAGGTTTATTGTAAACAACTTTATTTTTAAAAACGAGGTTTATTAGAGATGTCTAAAATCTACCTTAAAGAAATTTTAAAATCTCTTGTCTATGTTGGAGATGTATCTCCATTGTTTAATTTTTTGACATTAAAAATTTTGATAGACAAAGTAAACAACACTTTGAAAATAGATTACTAATGTAGCATATTCAAAACAGTCTTGCATGACTGGTGTTTTGTGGATGTTATTGTGGAAAATTCATCAATGAATTCTTTAATGGCAATCTAATGTAGCCAATATCTGTAAGAAGGAATGGTTTGGAGAATGTGAAAATAGGATTAATTTTATAATGTGATTGCCTATATGTAGCAATGTTTTTACATCTTTTTATTTTGCAACACTTTTATATTGATCTTATATATCTACTTTTGGTTCCCAAAGCCAAACATTCTTAGATCACTTATGTAAAAATCATAAAATAGTAAAAGTTTTTATACTGGAATATCCATCTTTTAGGGAAGGTAACTGTCAGAAAAACAAAATCTATATAATCCTTAGATGATTTTTATTTGGTGTAGATTTAATTATAATGCTAGGCATATTGCAAAATGGGTTAATTATCATTGCCTCAGTTTCATTATTAATTATACTTATCAAGTACAATAGGCAACAAAACCTCAAATGATGTTTTGCATGATTAATATAAGTATTTTTACGCCCAAATAGTCAAAAATTTGATTTAATCTTTGAATATGCTACTTTTTTCTAACAAGGAATTTTCAAAGAGGTAGCAACAAAACAAATAATAAGAAAGAAATACAACTCTTCAGAGAGAATTAGGCTAAAGACTCCAACTGTTTTTCCTGCAGATTGCTTTTGCACATGATTCAACTCGTGTGATCCAGTGTTACATTCAGCATGGTAATGAAGAACAGAGAAAACAGGCCTTTGAAGAATTACGAGGTACTGGCTGTATATTGAAGTTGTTATCATTGTAAATAACTCACTTGTTTTCTCTTGGAATATCTAAGACTCCTAGAAAATAATTCTGTGGAGGTACCCTCTATAGGATCATTGTTGTTTTTATTTGTTCTTTGCCTGAGACAAACAGTTGTAGTCATAGAATTGTGCATTTATTTAGCTTTTCCCCTTGTTTTTGGAAAACTGAAATGAGGATATCAAATCATTATAGGATATTTTGTTTTTCAGGTGACTTGGTTGAATTAAGTAAAGCTAAATATTCCAGAAATATTGTTAAGAAATTTCTCATGTATGGGTAAGTTGTGTTATTTATAAAATACATTTTTTCTTATTTTTTACTGTGCTCAAGTGTTACTTATGAAGTCTGTGGTCATATTAATAGCCCTCCACAATGCCTTTGAAGTTTTACAGGTATACCACCTTGAAAACAGTTATTGAAATTAATATGAGATTTTGGTATTGCTGTTCCTATTCTTAAGAGACTATTTTTGTGTTTTGAAGCTCCATTAGAAATGGAATAATTAACTTGTAATTAATCAGCAGTATTTAAAGGGTAGAAAGTTGGAGCAGCAAATGAGTAAACTCTTGAAATAGGATAAGTGGGTTAGAAAATGTCAAGATAGGATTTCCTAAATTTATGTGGAATTAGTGTTTGTCTTGGCCAATCATTTTGGGTGTAATAATGTCCCAGAATGTGGTAACCAACAAGAAAAAAGGTGTAACATGACAAATGTATGATTATCAGCAGCTTAATTGTATTAGGATAAGTCCTGTTTTAAAAGAGAATCCTAGAATATGTTTTATTCTTATCTTTCTGCATCTTTGACTTACTGCTTCTTTTTTCCCCTACCCTACTTTTTTTCAAGTTCAACAATTTAATAGGAACTGACATTTATTGGACACTTACAATGTGCTGCTCACAGGGCTTGATGCTTCTTAGTTCATTTAATCCTCACAGCAGCATCATTTCACCTATATGAATGGAAAGGCTGAGGTTAAAGAATTTGTTCAGGGTCTTTTGAGCCAGGTGTCAGTCCTAGAAAGTCTGGTTACTAAATCACTTAAAAGCCTGAAGTAGAAATACAAGGCAATTAGATTTTCCTGCTCATAAGCTTTTTCTTTATTTTTAATGAGATCCCACCCCACACACAGACACACACATACATAGAGTGATTAGTCAGCCTCAGGAGAAGTAAATTATATTTTATTGTCATCTAGATTTTTCCTTTTATCTCATACACACACACATATTATTTTTTTCCCCATGATTTTTAGGAGTAAACCGCAGATTGCCGAAATAATCAGAAGTTTTAAAGGCCATGTGAGAAAGATGCTGCGTCACGCAGAAGCATCTGCTATTGTGGAGTATGCATACAATGACAAAGCCATTTTGGAGCAGCGGAACATGCTGACCGAGGAACTCTATGGAAATACATTTCAGCTTTATAAGGTGATGTTTCCATAAGGCTTTTTCTTGTGTTTATTTGTTCTGTATGTTGTCCTTAACTTCTAGTGCCTTGTTTTCAGAAGGCATTTTTACTTTGGATGCTCCTTTAATAGACTGTCTCTTTTCTTGTAGATGATTTTGTCTCTAATATAGTGGGCAAGTGATCACACTTAAATTTTTTTCTTCCAGATGTTATCTTTAAATCTTCAAATGAAACGACTTTTGTTGCTCTATTCCTAATGCTCTGTGTGTAATGCTTAATTAAGTACTTTCATTTCTGAATCAGACTGAGGTCAAAGATTCTTAATAGTTAGCCAAGCTTTAGAACCACTCTCTATCCAGCTCTGGCTGAAGGGCATTGGACTCTCTGTTATTGCTTTCTCCCACCTTTCTTCATGATGTTTCATTTCCCTTCTCCAGATGGTCTAGAGAAGGGGGGGAGTAGAGACAGTCCACTTTGGATAGAGTGCAGGGACTGAATCCAAGACTAGGACAGCTAGAAGGTCTGTTGTAAACCATGAGACATTAATGTATGTTTATCTGAGGGATATGGATTGATTACTGGTTTCCCTGCATTAGGCAATTATGTTCCTGAGTTGAACTTATTGTTGTTTTACTTTCGTAATACCTCACTTTAGGACTATGCATCTGCTAAAAAACAGGACAGCAAGATTTGTGATCTACTTGATCTTGTGATTAGACATGTTAGGTCTTAGCAAGTGTCTGTTGGCTGGTTGGCATGATTGATGGTTTAACGTGGCTCTTTGTATCTGTGGGTTCTGCATCCGAGTAGTGAACCAGTCACAGAATGAAAATATGTTTTAAAAAATGCATCTATACTAGATATACATAGATATTTTCCTTGTCATTATTCCCTAAACAATTGTAACAACCATTCATACAGCATTTACATTTTACATTGTATTAGGAATTATAAGTAATCTGAAGATGATTTAAAGAATATAGGGATCCTCAAGGGTCTTTATGTATTTTTATTTATATATATATTTATATATAAAATATTACTACATATACATATGTGGGGGAGGGTTATAAACAAATACTATGCCATTTCATGAGATTTGAGCATCCTCAGTGTTTTGTGTCCACAAGGGTTTCTGGACCAATTCCTTATGGATACCAAAGATGACTAGACATTTGTACATCTGTACAGTCTCAGAATCAGATCAAGAATTATTCCATGAGTGTGTGTACAGTAAAGCTTGAGTTATGCACATATGGAACACCTTACATTTACTTTAAATTTATTGAAAATAGGTATAATTGGTTTTTTTGTTTGAAATGAAGAAACATTAATTTCAGAGGGGTTTGACTTTTCTTTTGTTACAGTCATCGGATCACCCAACTCTGGACAAAGTATTGGAGGTACAGCCAGAAAAATTAGAGCTTATTATGGATGAAATGAAACAGATTCTAACTCCAATGGCCCAAAAGTAAGAAAGATGTTTTGTATTTTCTTAATACATTTGAAAAAGATATTTGAAGGAGGAAAGTTTTATATAACCCTTGCCCCAAAAAAGGTGGGTATTTCCTCTTTACTATTATTAATCTGACCTAAATTCAAGTGTAAAAACTTTTGTTTGGAGCCTGTCTTAGTATGAAAGGGCATCATTCTTTCTGATACTGCATCCTGTAAAAGGACAACATAATAATGGTTTATAAACTTTGTTTAGGCCACAAAACATTTATTCTCAAAAAACTGTTTTATGGACTATTATGTTATAGTGAATAGTTTCACAAACGTAATGTTATTTAAATTGGATTTTAAGACTTACAAGCCTATGTACATGGCCTTCTTAGAATTGATAACATAACACAATTGTTGGGAGTGTAACTTGACTGCATGAGTGACTCCTGCTATCCCCTCCCCCTTAGACAGTTTAACCTCTCTATGAGTATCCATATGGTCAAATTGGGATACTAATAGTATATATGTCATAAAATTTTATGAAGATTAAATGGGATAATATTTCCAAAGAACTCAAAACAGTGCTTTGCCCATAAAAGCAGAATAGTTTGTTATCTGTTTGGGTAAAGTATGTGAACTTTATGTTTTTGGTGCCTGAACATCAACCTCCATTTTTACCTGAATTCACCAAATGTCACACTATGGGGCATTGATAAAATATGGTTGTTGCTATTTCTCTCACTGTTTGATTCATTCAGGTTTCAGTTCTGCTAATATTTTGTGAAACTAATGTATTTTGAATAGTGCTTTCAGAAAGAAAACAGCTTAAGAAAAAAAAGGTCTAAATGTGGATTCCCAATCATGTTTCCAGAACTGAGGGAGGCAAATAGAGTTGTTATTTATAAAGGTAGAACAAATTTTGAACGATGATATAATCTTTGTTGATAAAACACTGAAATTTGTACTTAGGTCAATATTATAATTTTTTTTAAATCTTAGTACTGTTGAAACATACAATCAATTTCATATTTAGTAAAACCATCTTATTTAGATTATTTTAGTTTCAAGATTGCCTGTCTCTGTTTGGCTTTTTGCCAGATCTGATGGTTTTTTTTTTGTTGTTGTTGTTGTTTTGTTTTCTGTTTTCAGAGAAGCTGTGATTAAGCACTCATTGGTTCATAAAGTATTCTTGGATTTTTTTACCTACGCACCCCCAAAACTCAGATCAGTAAGTTCTTTGGTTTTGTTTTTAAACCAAAGTGTAGAAAAAAAGTCATGTAGATATTTTAACACATTGCTTTGATATACACACTTCTTTGGAAATTTTAGAGTTGCTTTCTTATTTAGAATAGATGATTCATTAAACTTCCCTTGAATAAGCTTGCTAATTGTTTTACTTTTTGTCTAGAAGAATGATAGAATTGACTCTAGTTTTATTAATACAATTGAATTTTTATATTTTAATTATAAACCAGAGGATATCCTCCAGATTTTCTAAAAATAAAGTAACTTGGGAGGAATATTTTGCATTTAGGTAGTTTTTAAACTCAACTGTGCCGGTACCAAAAAAAAAAAAAAAAAAAACTTGCTGATATTAAAAGGTTAGTGGAAGATACTTAATGTAAAACTAAATGGCCCATGAAAACCTGGACCTTAAATGATAGAAGGAGAAAGAACAGAGAGTGAAGGTAAATTGCACTGCCCTTCAAGTTAGTGAAGTGAATACAAATGAGAATTCATCATTTAGTTTCCTGAACTTTGCTTGCCTTGTCATTCAGTGAGCTCATTGTCCATTTTGTCCTCATTTTCAGTTACACGGCATAACTAAAATAATGAATCTGGCTTATTTTAACAAATATGCCAGATTACATATTCATAGGAATTTTGACCCTCTCAATTAGCACGCAAAATAATTTCTCAACAGTCGGTTTCTCCCAAGCTCATTGTGAAGTGACCATAGCAGCATCTTCTCTTTGGGAGATTTCTGTTTCCCACAGAACACAGTATCTCACACTTGTGTGTTTCCTGAGATAGGATTGAATGTTCTGTCTGGCAAAATGATCATTTGAATATATTCAGTGCTGGAAAGCATTTATCTTTTTAGTGTTGAGTGTGTTTTAGGAACAAAAAAAATTGGAACGGGATGTAAAGTAATGAATAAAGGATCTTTTCTGGCACTGGGGGCAGTTTTTAAATGAGAGACTTAAAAATATATCATTGGGGATATTGGAAGCATAACTGGAATACATACATGACTTTCTAACTGGATAGGTATGATGGATGAAATCTGTGTTCTAGAGATTTATCCCGGGAAAGGATTGTAAGATAGTACAGAGTGAAATTGCTTGTTCCTTATTGATGAAATTAGGCAACTACCTTTCCATTTCCTGGCTTGAGGCTTTGTATTTTGTTTAAAGTTGGAATAGGCTAAAATGAGGCCCTGCGGCTGTTAGCTGCCAGATCTCGTAAATTTACAACTTGTGCTTATTAGACTTTGAAGATATGAATAAGAAACTGTATACATTGAAAATAAATGCTAAAGATTAAATTAAGCTAAGCTACCTCATAAAAAAACTAAATGATTTTTCTACAAAAGTATCGTTTATAGGTGAAGACCTAGTCTAAATTTTTATAATATAGAGATTAATTTTTCTTTGGGAAATGCTGTTTGTTTATGATAAAGAATCAATATGATTTCTGGAGATAATCTAGTGATAAACTAAAAAAACAGGGAAATGTCTTTGTTAGAATGAGTTTTGATTCTATTTATTTTATACATGTCTCTTAAGGAAGAGCATTTTATTTATTTTCATTGTTCTGTTTGAAACTCCCTTATTGCTACCACCTTCTAGACATTTTTTTCTTGGAAAATCATTTACAATATATTATGTTACCCATATAACCTGTAACATTTTTTTTTAAATAGACATTGGTAAAAGTCAGATATGTTGTTTAATAAAAATTGCTTGCCAGCAATATTTGCTGCTTTGATAGAAAAGGATGTTTCTAGAATGAGGTTGTGTTTTTGTCGGATTGTCTACAGAATTTAAAATTAAATTGTTTGCTACCTGTGCTCTCTTCCTTTTATTTTCTGTGCCTGACTGTTCTGTAGACAGATAAAACAGCAAAAAGAAGGAAAAATAAACCAATGCCCTGACAGCATTTGTTCCCTAGGAACTGATTGAAGCCATCCGAGAAGCAGTGGTATACTTGGCACACACACATGATGGTGCCCGAGTCGCCATGCACTGTCTGTGGCACGGCACACCCAAGGTAAATGTTGTCAGTCAGGGCCATGTCTTCCCTGCAGGCTGGACTTGCTTATTCATTGATTGTCAGTTCCCTCTAGTCTTTCCCCAGTTATGCATAAGCATCTTATTATCAAGTTGTGTTTCAAGGCTTTACAGGTATTTATCATCTTTAGGCCTAGTATTTCTTCTCTGCTTTAGTAGAAACCTTGAGCTTTGTTGAAGATAAGAAAGAGTCTGTCAAGCAAGTAAGCACAAGAGATTTTGGTATCTGTTAGACTCTATTTCTCATTTAATGATCATATGTGATGGAGATAAGATAGTAAACAGTTACACTTGTGTTATTACTCTGAGTGTTAAGTACTTTGAAAAAAAGATAAAGATCCATATTAATCACAGAATTTTAATGGAAATAACTTATTTATGCCTTCAAAAGATAATTGTATATTCTATCTTTTCATTAATGCACATTTAATTTTTATCAACAAATGCATATTGGGTACTATCTGTATACTCTTGCAGAGATGTTTCAGACATTGGATAAGAGATCTCTCAGGTCTTACTGTAAAAACTGGTTCAGTAGGGTTGTATTGCTTGCAACTTACATGTTTTGGGTTCCCTCTTTATGTCTAAATGGACTGTCAACTGTAAGTCTAAGATTTACTCTGAAAGGAATTATGTATGTTGCAATTTTTCATTCTGTTTGCATAATTATTATTTTCACTAAAGAAAAGTATTTCACTCAAATGAAATCTTAATATATAAAAAATTTTAACTATGAAATAGGTTTAATCTATTACTAAAGGTTCATTGAGGCAATGTTTCCTTTTTAAGGACAGGAAAGTGATTGTGAAAACAATGAAGACTTATGTTGAAAAGGTGGCTAATGTAAGTACAGTAAAAGTACATGTTTCTTTTAATTTTAGTAGTAAAATGAATTTATGTGTTAGAGAAAAATTGAAAAATTAAAAAAATTATCAAGAAAATTGTTTTATTATAGTCTTTTGTATGTATATTTTCAAATGATTATTTGTAAAAATTAGAATTCGGACCACATGTCTCTTTTCTCTCTCTCCTCTTTTTTTGTTTGTTTTGTTTTGTTGTTGAAGTGCAGGAGATTGAACCTAGAACCTTGAACATGCTTAGGCAGGGGCTCTTCACTGAACTGCATTCCCAGGTCCCTAAACCCCCCAGTCCTCTTTTAAATTTAACATTGTATTGTGTCAGTTCCTCATTTTTACTAGATATTTTTTTAAGACTTGATATTTACTAGGTCTCATTAATGAATTTGTTGAATCATGTTAATAAAATGTGAAAATTACTGCCTTGATTAAAGTATCTATGTTTATATTTATAGGTAAGTAATGTCAGTTGCCATTCAGAAACTTAGTATCAGTGTTTGTTACCACCTGCAAAATTAGAATCATCTCCTTTTTTTCTTAGAATAAATTTGCAGTGTAGCCATGGTGGTTTTGCTCCTTAGAATCCCCTGGAGATGTAGTGACAACCTTATAATGAAATTAGTGGACACAAAATAATTGCCTCAAAACTAGTGTTTGCATATATTTATAGATATTTTCTGCATTGTTATTATAGAATGACACTATAACTAGAATATATGTGGTAGTAAATATAATTTTAATTTTTGAGTTATATATTTAATGACTTAATTCATCAGTGAAATTCTAATTAAGTGATGAATCAAAAATATTTCATGACCAACTACTTTTTTCAATGAAAAATCCAGTGGGAACTATAATGTGTGCTGACTTCATAATATAGCAAATCCTAATTCAAACATAAAGGTAATGCTTGGTGATTGTGTACTTATCTATTGTCTTCTATAGGGTTGGAGATTAGAAAAGTTAAGTTTGAAACCATTCAGAAGGCATTCTATATGGTATTCGCTCTCTTGAGCTATTTCTGCAATATAAGAATATTTTCTGATTCCTCAGTCATTATTAAGTAATTTAATCTTCACGAATGACATTTTAATTTGAATACTTAAATTAGAATTGAGTAAAAATAGAATGAATAGAAAGTTCTAAACTGTATTAGTAGTAGTAAAAGATTTTTAAGTAATCAAGTTAATTAGAATGTTTTAATTTTATAGTTTTGTTATTTTAGGTAATGCAACAATTAATTTTTTTGAGAACCTAATCCTACTATGACATTGGGATATAATAGAAATTGATAATCCAATGTCTTTTAATCTCTTAAAATAACCTCTGAAATGATGATATGAGCTAATAATATAATTCATGGATTTGAACCATCCATTATTTAGAAATGTAATTTAATTTCTAAATATTGAGGATTTCTTGGTATTCTTTATTATTTTAATCCTTTAAATACATTGAGACTTGTTTAATTGTGTCTTAAAAAGAATTTATTTTGAAGTTGTTTGTGGTATTCTATAACTGTTAGATCAAGGTGGGTGATAGTGTTGTTTAGAATAATCAATGTTTTTACTGGTTGCTATTTTGTTTTTTAGTTTTCTTAGCTACTGAGCAAAACATGTTAAAACCTCCAAATATGATTATGGAATTGCTTATTGCTCACTTATACTGTTAATATATATAACATCTATGCATATTAATCATATAATTTGAACAGAAATCATCATTGATCAATGTAATTTTGCCTTCAAAAGATAGTATGTCTGCCTTTTAAATTCAATTCTCTACAGACTTCTTCTGTATTTACCCAGAAATATTGTACTCTTGGTCAAGCTTATGGGTGTATGACTTCAGAAAGCTGAAACTAATGATTTTGTACTATGTCTTGTTGTCTCCTTCACTTAATTTGTCTTAGGGACCATCTTATTTCAATATATGTGTATCTGTAGTTGTTACCTTTGTTTTCCAAAGTTGAGCCACTTTGCATTCTCACCAACATAAAAGTGTGCCTGCTTTACCTCAACTTGTCTGTTATCAGAGGTTTTCAACATTGTCTATAGGATAAGTGGACAATGGTGTTTTGTTGTTTTAATTATTGACCTTAATTATTCCATTAAGGCATTATTATACTTTTTAAGCCACTCTGTAAACATTAAGGCATTATTATACTTTTTAAGCCATTCTGTAAAAGGACTTTCATTTTTTGCTGTTTTAGTTGATTGTTGATCTTTAGATCATAAATATGTTAGATCTTTGGTGTTTTTCTCCAGTTTGTTTTTACATCTGTGTATTTAGCAAATTCCTCATTGTTTCTAATTAAAACAATGTCATGTTTCTCAGACCTTGCTATAAATCTGTGCTGGCTATTATAAAAAATTGATTCTCCCTAATTAAGACAGACACATACAACATTGATATCATCATCCGTGATACTAACAAGAATATGCAACAAGCTTTTAAAACAGTGTTTTGGTTTGGTTTTATACGTAAAGTAAGAGTTCTTTAAATGTTTGGAGGACAATCAGCATTGCAGAAATAATTGTATTATTTCAAGAGGAGATTGTTGTGAAAGCCACAATTGTGAATTTACATGGGTCTTGCTTCCATACTTCTTTTAAAGCAAAAAGTTTTGCCTTATTCTCATATCATTAAGTAAGTGTACCTTTATAGTTTGTTTTGTATTTACTTATATTCTTATTGTGGAGGATTATTTTAAGAAAATTTGTGATCTAAATACAATTGGAGAATACATGATTAAAACGATTATAATCCTTTATCCTAGAGATGATTATTACATTACAGTATTTTGCCTTCTAGAATTTTCTGTCATGTATTATGAATTGTGTGTGTGTGCAATTACATGTAAGCTTATGTATTTTTGTGTGTGATTTTAATATTCTCTGTGTGATAACTCCCCGCCCCCCCAACACACACATAGTTTTAATCTTATCACTTGGACTTTCTTTTAAGTTTGATTTTCAGATAGCTATTAACAGGATACCTATTTAGATAGGTATTATATCCTGGTTAGTCTGGGGCTCTTTGGCAATGAAGGATATGCTTTTCTGTTTCTTTTTTCTTTTTCTTTTTAATCAATCATTTCTTAAGAATGTAATTAACTAGGTCCTGATAAGAAAGAAAGTGCATTTGAATGGCTTTTATTCATATTGTGTTAGGTAAATTGTCCCTGTTGGTAGCCTTTATGGAATGACTCCATAGATGGAGTAAGAGGAAAAATCTTTGCATTTTTTTTAAGTTTTACTACCTTTCAATTTTTACAGGGCCAATACTCTCATTTGGTTTTACTGGCTGCATTTGATTGTATTGATGATACTAAGCTTGTGAAGCAGATAATCATCTCGGTACGTAATTCTGATGGTCTTAGATTTAAGTTGCATTGATATACCAGTTGTGGGTATATAACTTTGATTTCACACATGCAGTGTTAAAAAGAGTTTTCACCTGTACTTTGGCCAGTATTTTTTTAGTTGTCTCAACTAAGTCTTATTTTGGAAATTTGCTCTTTTCCTATATGAATCATAACCTTGTAACTTGATATTAATACTATTTAAAATATTTAAAAGACTGTGGTTAAGACTTGACTTTTGTTTTGGATTAGGGTAACATAGGTTTTTTTTTATTGTTGTTGTATTTTAAGACTATATTAGAGATTAAAAAATGAAAAATCAGCAAAGCAGTGCTTAGATTTGATCAGAAATTAGTTTTGGTAGTAATTTGTCAATTTAACACTCTCTTCCTATGGACGGACTCTCTCTACAGTTATCCAGTTTACTAATACATTTGTTCTGAAATTGTTAGAGAAGGAAAATTCATAAAGCTCACTTAGTCTTGGTGCTTGTTAAAACTTTCATGAAAGCTTTTGTATAATTAGATTAAAAGTTAGGACTAAAATTAAAATGTTAACTTCATTTTTACATTTCAGCAATTCCTCTAATCTGGCTTAATGGCCATAAAGTGATTATGCTCAAGTACAGTTTATTAGCTCTAAACTTTAACATGCACATAAGAAAAACCAAACTGTTCTTTTCCAAAAGTTAAAGTTGAATTTCTAAACTATTTTTATTCCTCTATTCTTTTTCTGACTTCTGCTTCTATGATCCTCTTGTATCTTCTTTTCCTTTATTTTTGGAATGCAGTTGATATTGAGTATATGGTATGATTGAGATTACAAGGGTGGGGATAAGAAATTACAACATTGGTAGCACTGACCAGACTTGGAAATGTTTTAAAAATAAAATAGTCTGTATAGACACAGGTTATTCATCTGAAAATTATACATACTTTTGTGTTTGGTACACAACTATGGGGATCTTGGAGAAATCCTGGGAACACATGGTACTCTTGGCAGAAGAGAAGAAGCACATGGATTATCTAGAGAGTTTACCTGTTGTCAGGTGGTGGTGCTGTGTCCTCTCTTAGTAGCCCATTTGCACCAGTAGAACTGGGTGCAATAGAAAAAGTATATCAGCCACTGGAAAAGAAAAAGGTTTTTTTTTTTCTTCTTCTTCTTAAATGCCAGCTCTAGGTCCCAGTGTGAATTTCTCATGCCCTTGCTGTCATTTTCCAACTTTGTTCTTAACTATTTTAAGATGGTGATGACTTTCTTTGAGATAGGATTGTGGGAAGAAACAAATTGGCAAGACTTTCATGTCACAGACTGAGTATTTTGACATGTTCCTTGTGGCTTTATTACCCTTTTGACTCCAATCAATAATGATTGTTTTTCATTCCTGTGACAGAAATGTGAGGCCATAGAATTGGCTAATGAATAAAGTTGTTTCACAAAAATGGAAACAGGCTGGGCTATTGAAAGTTTGCTTTTGTTTAATATTTTCACAACTAAAATTTACATATCTGTTCCAAATGGATTTCAGGAGAAACCAGACTTCCTTCAGAATTTCCCAGAATCACCTCTTTAAATATTTTTTTCCAAAGATTAATCTCAGAGTTGCTATTAAAACAGTTTCAATTCCTTGTGCTTATCAGTCCATTTCCCACAACTATTTAATTCACATTCTTGATGACTGTCCCTCTTAGGGCAGCTTTCCTTGCATGGCTTGACTGCTGATCTCTTGCTTCTAACTGACAAAAGCTCAACAGGCTCTGTGTATCATTAAACTGTGTAGCTGGTGATAAAACTGGAATGCTAATTGCTCTTGCATTTCCCCACCCCACCAATCATCACAAAACCTGTTGCAGAAGGCAGTGCTTTTTAAAAATAACCAAGAAAGCCAAGTGTTGTTAGGCACTCTATTCAAAGTACTCAGACTTCAGAAATGTCAGGTTGAAATCATGGCCTGGTCAGATAGCCTTCCACTTTTCAAAATGGATACAAACTGATTCTTACCTGCTTTACCTTCTGAAACATACGTATTTATTAAAACTTGATCCACTTACCCTGAAGTCATTGGTATGACACACCTGGTGTGACAACAATATTTTGTGAAAAGGAAATAAGTACATTAGCCAGTTGCTGTTTAATGGCTGTAACTGAACTATGTTGTGAGTTTCATCATCAGGGGTCAGCAAGCCTTTTTTGTAAATGGCCAGATAGTGATTATTTTAGGCTTTATGGGTCTTATATGGTGTCTGTCTTATTTTCTTGTTTGATTTGGTTTTCCTTTTTAACATCCCTTTAAGGTGCAAAATCTAGTCTTTGCAGGATATACAGAAATAGGCTGCAAGGTGGATTTGAACAAGACCTGAATTTGCCCACCTTTGTCCTTGGTCATTTATTTTTTAATGCAAGGTAGTATTCTATCAAACATGGACATATGGGTAATTTTCTTTTTCTGGTGATAGATGTTTAGTTTTTTCTTTTGAATAAACTATTTTTAAATTCTTATTTATTTTTGCTAGTGCAGATAATTCCATTAATAATCATGTCTATTTTCCTGCATACGTTAAAAGTCTGTGAAGGCATTCACTTACCAGAATTGCTGAGTTGACAAATATACTACACATTGAATGTTTTAGTATTTTCCACCCAGCCACTAAAAAAAAAATCACTGCATATTGTATTGTACAGTGTTTTTAAAAATAGCCAAGAAAGCTTAATGTTGCTAAGCATTCTAGTTAGAGTATCTGGATTTGCTGAAATGTCACATCAAAATCATAGTCTGATAATCAAACTTTGTTTTCTGTTAAGACTAGATATCAGTCTTTGATCTCCCAGCCAGATCTGGTCTGCCCATCCTGTCAACTACTGTTTTCTTTGGTTTTTCTACCTATTCACTTAGTAGTTAATTGTGATCTGACACAGGGCTCACAAACAGATAAAATGTCCATTGACTAAACTGGTAAATGAATAAGGCAGACCAAGTATGTGAAAGAAGGTAGGGGACTGAGCAATAAGGAGATCACCTGCCCTGTCCAAAGTGATGGCAACCACTCACCTAAGCCTATGATAATGAGAGCTCTAAGGTGATAGACCTTCCCAATTTTGCTTTTGTTTTCTTTGTAATTAAGATAAAATACACATAACACAAATGTGCCATCTAAGCATTTTAAGGATACATTCAAGTAGTATAGAATATACTCACATGGTCGTACAACCAGTCTCTGGGACTTTTTGTGTTTCAGAACTGACTGAAACCCTATGCCCAATTACACAGGACCTGCTGTTTTTTTGGTGGTTGTTTTTTTTTTTGTTTTTTTTTGTTTTTTTTTGTTGTTGTTGTTTTGAGGGTAGCCAAACCATGAACTTTGATATAAAAACACCATTTTTTTGGTAACAAAACACTTAGACTGCCTGGTAATACAATCTTCTCAACACTTCAGCTGGTATTCATTATTTAAGTTTATTTTGAATTCTGCTAGATTTTAGCTTCTTATGGATAATGTAGCTTGCATTTCTATTTGTCTCCACACAGAAACATATACCAGCTTCTCAGTAATTTATGTCTTTTTGCATTTTTGTCCTTAACAGAAAATAATGTGTATGCTCTAACTCTCCTTCCTGTGTGCATCTTTGATTTTGACCTTTACCCTTTCTCTTTAAAAGAGAATAGGCAAAACAAGAGTGCCAAGAAGTCTGGCAGGGGCCTAACACTTGGAGTTCAGACCGACCAAAGGTGTCTTTGGGTAGAAATAGTTTTGGAACACAAGAAACTAGAACTTCAAGAAACAGGAGGGAGGTCTTTTGTTCTTTCCCGTGCTCTTTGTTTTTTGAAGCATAAGAAAAATAAGTTACAAAAAATGGTCCTTCTTGTATTTTCTCTTAAGTTAACTCTTATAAAGCATAAGCTAAGCCAAATGAAAATCAAACTGTCATTGTTGTCATTTCTCGTTGAGAGTGAAAACCTTTGACTCCACTAGCTTTATTTAATCTCTATAGTTGGGGAAGCTATATATTCAGTGGTGTGTTTTAAATATGAAAATAATTCTTTTACAGCAGCTTGAATAGTTTTCTGTTTTGCCATGGTAATAGCCCATGGGTCAGGTAGGTGGATCATTTCCTTTACAGATAAGGGAATTAATGAGCAGGGAGGTCAAAGGATTTGCCAAAGGCTTCTAACTTGACTTGAAGACTTCAGAGATCAAATTAAGCACACAATCAGCTATGCCATAGCCATCTCCTACCTGTTTATCTGTGTTAATGGTATTCTCCAGGCAATGATCTAGAAATCTCTGATTTGCAACACTCACATACTGTTTTCTTTGTATTTTTCAAATATGTATAATTTCAGAGGTAGGAAAAAGTGTCGTGAAGGCAAAATGGAGAATTAAATACTACATATTTAAGTAAATGTTTTGAGTTTCACAAAATTGTGTTATAAATATTACATATTTTTAAGATTTTAATTAAACATGAGTTTAAATTCTAAATTTGTTAATTATGAACCAAAAGGCAGTAAAAATCAGTGAATTCAGAGTCTAGTCCTTGAATATATTTTTGCATGGATTTTATACGTTTCTTGAAGTTCTTGCTTCTGTGTTCCAAAACTTTTTCTGCCCAAGCCACATATATTAGGTCAGTCCAGTAGTAACCATTATAGTTGTTTACTGTATATCCCCATGCTTTATTTTGACACTTATGTCACCCAAGTTTTAAAGGTATTAACTCTAGAGGTTTCTGTTATTTTTAACAGACAGCAAAGGATTGTTGTTTTTGTTAAGACTGTGGAAATTGACCCAACCATTGTATCATTCTCAACCCTATCTTGAAATGAATTAACAGATTAAAGAGCAGATTTTTAAAAGACGAATCTTCTTGTCCGAGTTGATGGAAGTTTAAAACAGATACCTGAGGATATACTAGAGGTCCCCCCTACCCGCCCATATGGTGCATCGAATGCCGTCATCAAAAACACATATAAAAAAGCTCCCTATTCTACAATAAGTTTGGAAATTTTTTTGGTTCATCTTCCCTTGCATTATGGAAATTTTAAGTTCATTTTCTCAGGGTGATTGAAACTATATATCCATTTTGAGGTGGTTAGATTTATTGAATCTATTCTGGAAACTTGTATGTTTTATGTAGGAATCATTATGATGTGACCTTAAACTTCTTGAGAAGTAGTTAGGAGAGCTAAGTGAGGATTGGAGTCATGTTAAACATAGGCACTGTGGTGAATGTCATTTAACATGATAGATGTATAGCTTTCAACAGTGTCTGGCTCCTAGTGGCACTTAACAAATGTTAGCTACTATTACTAATTATCAGAAACATACTTTTATGCAAAAATATGAGGGAAGCTTGGGATTTTTTTAAAAAGGAACATAATACATGGAAATCTGGAGTTTCATCATCAACCATGGAATCTTGACTTTTTCTGTATTGTGGCCTCATGGTTCATAACTCACTTAATTTAGTTTCCTTCTTGCACTAAAATTAGTAATTTTATCATAATAAATAGACAAATTGGAAAAGAGCAGACCTGAATATGATTTTATAAATAAGTCCTCTTCAAAAAAGATTGTATGATTTCTTTGAAGGAGACTAGATTTAGAGTCAGGGTACTAGGACTGGTCAGGGCCCTAGTAATGATTCTACATGGCCTCTGGCAAGTCATTTCTCTCTTCTGAGTGCCTCATTTGTAAACATGGCCAATGGAACTGAATTCTTCCTTTGGCCTCAGCCACTTCTAAGAATCTTTGGTACTGAGAAACGTGCATTTGCATCTAAAGTTTATTACAAGAAACAAGAATGTTAAGGGTGGGGGAAAGCAGATGTTCTCTCTTTGTGTTTTCTCTATCAAGAATAAAGGAATTTTTAAACAGTGACTTTCTGTCTCTGAAAACATCAGATTTACAGATTTACGTAGGCCCTCAGTTGAGATGGGGCAACATTGCTTTTGTCACTTCGATTGCAGCCACTACAAAAGGAAGTTCCTGTGCCTGTGTATATTGACTGAAAATGCCATACAGGGTAATTTGTAACTACTCAGTGGAGTCTTTCTGGATTTACTTTCCCTTCCCACTCTGTTCTTGTTTTTTACTATAATAATTAAATAGTCTTCATTTACCATGAACGAGCAACCTAACTTTAAAGGTTTTTATCCTTTTTTTTTTTTTCTGTTTTACAGTTTTTGTATCTCCCTCACATAGTCTCAGCAGAGAAGTTCTGAGAAGGATGTTCTTCATTGAGGCTATGGTTAAGTGCAGCTACAAATTAACCATCTACTCAGTGACTCAAGCAAGAACTGTCCCTAGGAATAGGCCTAAGAAATATTGGCATAATGAATGAAGATAACTACTTTAAATAGGTTTTAAGTCCTTGGTCTTGGTCAGTTAATGTAAATGGATTGTTTAGTGATACTAGTGACAGTAGAGAATTGACTCTATGCTCCAAACGTGAATCTCTTTGTGTTTTAATGTGACAGTTCAGAACTCACTCCATTTTCCATTAAATACACGGGAAAATAGTCATATGTCTATTCTTCATTACCATTCAAATCTCAACCATAATTTATAGATATACATAAAGGTTTTTTTTAATTTATAATTTTATAGGAAATTATCAGTTCCTTGCCAAACATAGTAAATGACAAATATGGAAGGAAGGTCCTTTTGTATTTACTGAGTCCAAGAGATCCTGCACATACAGTACCAGAAATCATTGAAGTTCTGCAAAAAGGAGATGGTAATGCACACAGGTAAAAATTAGTAGAATGCTTTGAGTCCTTCTTTCCTTTCTTTGACTGTTCATGAAATCAGAGTAGTCTATACTTCCAGTCACACATCCATACTCTCTTACTCTATCTCTTGAAAAAACCCAAAAGGTGAATTTTGTTTTAATCCAGTAATTTTGACAGATTCTTAAAGTTCTTAACTTGACAAGGAAATAAAAGTGTCATGCCAAAAGAACACCTCTGAGCCCTGGTACATAGCGGGTATTCAGGTGCATGGTTTGTTTTTTGTTTGCTTTATTTTCAGAACTACTGTTACTCTGGTTTTGAGTACCCAAGGAAAGTAGTAGAGTCCATTCAGTAGTCTTAAGCATGTGTTAGCTTATGGAATAATCCATTGTTGTCTGGTAGTTTGGGCTTTTGTTTGAATGTTTTTTTGTTGTTGTTGTATTGCATAAACTAAGCTTCCCAGCCTCAAATCACCTGTTGTCTATATGCTCAGTAGAATTGTCAACAGTTACAATAGATTGTGACACAGAAAATAATTGCCTAAGGTTTTTGTGATAATAAGATTACTATTTCCTTTGCTAATTTTCTTAACCATAATACTTCATTCAACATATTCCTATAGTAAGAAAGACACAGAGATCCGTCGTCGTGAGCTCTTAGAATCCATTTCTCCAGCTTTGTTAAGCTACCTGCAAGGACACGCCCAAGAGGTGGTGCTAGATAAGTCTGCATGTGTGTTGGTGTCTGATATTCTGGGATCTGCCATTGGAGATGTTCAGCCTGCCATGAATGCCATTGCCAGCTTGGCGGCAGCAGAACTACATCCTGGTGGCAAGGACGGAGAGGTAATGTGCTATTTTAAGAGAGGCACGAAAGTTGCGGGGGCTATAAAAACTCAAGTCAGTTCATCACTCCAAAGAGTTTTAACAACAATTAATCCTCCTCACACTGACAGTACATATGAAAATTGGGAATTCAAAACGACATGCCTTTACAGTACTTGTATTTCTTAGAAATGTATAATGATTCATGTTAGCTACAGAATAAAAACAAAATCTTAGTATTCTAAGTGAAAACTGTGAAGGACAACTACAGGTTTTAGGGAATTTTGTAAGAGCCACCTACTCCAAGAAGGTTTTCTGAAGGTAGGGAAAGCTAAGCTGAGACCTGAAGCTCATCAAAAAATAATAGAAGATTCCAGGCTGAGGGAGCACAAATGCAGCAGTTTGAGAATAGGAAGGTGGAGTGGGAATGGAAATTGTCAAGCAGAGGAAGAAGAAGGCAGAGGCCAGGACATACTGGGCCTTTGTGTTGGGCTGGTTTATAAGCTCCCAAAGCCTCTAACGTATTTATGGTAAACCTACTGTTTTCTGAGTCAGTGGCCTCTGCTGTCGCCTAGAGTTACAAATCCTTGATCTCAATCCTCACAGTGGCCCTCCATTATTATCCCTAGTATTACAGTTTTAAGATTAAAAAAAAAAAATAGATTACTTAAGTTCTTTGCTTTGAATAAATCTGTTCTAAATGCTTAAAAAGGTATTCAAAGATGAAATGACAGGGTCTTTGTCCTTAGAGCCTGGTGTCCATTGGTGAGACATATAAGCAAGGTGTTAAAGTAGTAAAAGTCAATTCTCATATTGAATTATGTTCAGGATGTGATGGGAACTAAATGTAACATCTGAATTTTAGTCTATGTCCAAGGACTTTTAACTAGTACTATGGGTAGTTGCTCTAGAAAGGAGTGTTTTGGTTTAAATGATAAGTTGCCTCTTGGTAGCAGTTAGATAGTTAATTACCGTAATAAAAGTAGTGCCTCACAATGCCAGATTCCACCTTCCTGGCTCACTCTAACATCTTTGCAGCTATTCTTGCATTGCATTTGCTAGCATTCACAACCTTAGCCCAAGTCCACACATCAGGAGCCCAAGCAGGAAGGAAAGAGCAAGAGCAATGAGTCTTCCTCTTGGGTCTGGCAAGTTCCCAGTCTTTCTTGACATTTTATTGGCTAGAACTAAATCACATTGACTTGTGGGCCAATCTCTGGCAGAAGCAGTTTGGATGAACAGAACTGCATCAGACCAGTCAGGAGGTATCCCCTGAAAGTAAAAAGGGAGCTTTAGAGAAGGCGGGTGGCTGGGTGAGGTGTTAGCAGGAAAGAAAGCTGACAAGGGAGGTGCTGTTGAGTGAACAGTTGAGATCCTTTTCCATAGCAGCATTTATATTGTATTCAGCTTTAATTCCCTCTAATCATCTAGACCAAAGCCTGGCATTTGGAAATGTTTTGTACAAATATGTATTTGGTTCTGAATGAAAATGATGCCTTGTATTTAGTGTATGGCATACTTTTGACCCATAGAATTGGGAAGGAGAAGTGCAGCCCTGACCTCTGCCCTCCTGAAGCAGTTCATATTACCAAGTGGGAATGAGCAGTGTGTAGCGGAAGTTTCTCTGTAAGGAGATTGTGCTATTGTTTCCCATACTTCATACGCAGAGTCCCCAGATGGAAATGATTGGTGTGGCCCTTACAAAGGAGTCAAGTTGAGCTAAAACAGTTTTTCTTGACCTGCTCAGATCATTGTAGTCACATGTATTTAAACACCATTCATCATTCAAAATTAGGTTTCAGTGTTTCTGCTGTGGTATTCTGTTTCAGAGGTTTATTCTCACCTCAGAACTACAGAATTGCCATTGAGTGTAGTTTTGGGTGGTGTGGTTTGGACTTGAATTCAGGAAGCCAAATGTGCCATGCCCTGCAGGGGCTGCATTCTTGCATAACCAAGTTCATTTCAGCCTATCTCTGGTGCCTCTAGCTATAAGAATATTCTAGATAAAGACTTCTTAAGCCTTGTGGAACTTGAAACTTGACTTTATCCTTACCTACCTGTGGTTATATAGGTTGAATCTTGGGCCAAGGTGTGGGTGAAAACAGATATTTGAATTAGCCTCTTCTTGATCCCCTGTAGCTTCATGTTGCAGAACATCCTGCAGGACATCTAGTTCTGAAATGGTTAATAGAACAAGATAAAAAGATGAAAGAAAATGGAAAAGAAGGTAAGCCATGCAACTTGTCCTTTTCTTGCGTCTTATGTGGAATTTCTATAATTCCTGACATCACTGAACTTTACACTGGCCCAGTAAGTTCATATGAAGTTTGTTAAGTGTCTAGAAATGATGTCTGTGAATAAAAACTTGTGTCCGAGAATCCTATAGTTTTTTTTTTTTTTTCCCTCATTCCCACCCTCCCTCATGCTTTCTCTCTTTCCTCCTCTGCTACTTCAGATTTTTAACCAGACTTGGTCATTGCCCTGAATGCCATTCTGTTCCTGGCAGATAGTATAGCATTACCCCCAATGAAAAGGCCTGGTTTTTAATCTCTAGTTTTGAGAAAAGAATAAGCTGAAGAATATTATCCTCATCAGAGAATTTTGGACAGCTGCCTGTTTATTTGGCATTGAATGTGTGTGACCAAAGGGCAAGCCAGTCCTTGGCACTTTTTAAATAAGCCTTATAGCTGTTCTGTAGAAACTCATCTATAAAGAGAACAGCATCTTGTATTTAAAATGTTGTATACTATTCCCCTCTTAGTCCTGTCTTTAACCTGACCTTTTTTACTGTATTCACATTCCATGTGGTATTTAAGCCACGTTTTCCCTACCAGATGAAAAGTTTCGGCTATGAACTGTCTGAAAAAGGTGGTGCGTGAATTAAGACGAAAATTACATCTCTCTAGCTAGTGAGGCGACTAGTATAGCAGTAGAGCTGCCACTTCTTACTCCCCCTATAAGAATAGTAATTTGAAGCTGTCTTTCACTGCTTTTTTTCCCAATATGAAAACTTAAAATCTTAAAAAAAGTGAAGTTCACTAAGTTTCAGTATATCTTTATAGGATGTTTTGCAAAAACACTGGTAGAACATGTTGGTATGAAGAACCTGAAGTCCTGGGCTAGTATAAATCGAGGTGCCATTATTCTTTCCAGGTAGGTATATCGTGTTTCTTCTGTGCTCAGGACCCAGTCATACAAAGGTACACTTCCTTCCCCTTTACCTCACAGCTCTAATACTTGTTCCTAGTAATCTGGCATTAGTCTTTACTAATTAGTCCATAGTCTAGACAAGTAGATCAAATATTAGAAAGCAAATGTTGCTTTTTCAGTTGTCCTTAGGATTTCTTTTACTGCCATCTTTTGGATATCAGAGATCACAAAATGATGATGATCACAAAATGATGACACTCACAAGGCATCATATGATGGTTTTGACCAAAACATAATTTATATTTATATATATATATATATATATATAAATTTTGTAAGTAATTTGTGTCCCTTAGGAAGCAGTTAACAAACCTGATGTTTTTTTTTAAGTCATGCCTGACTTTACATGTAATTTTCTTTGTTTTTAGTGATTCTAAATGGATTAGGAAAGCATTTGTTTCTAAAATCTGTATGCTAATTTTTTTCTAATAATTTACAGGTCATTGAATTTCCAGGCTTTTTGTGCCCATATGAAACCCTCTGTTTAAAGCATTTGTTTTATAAGATTTGTGTGTTACTTTGAGGCAGTCACTTTTGATTCTTCTCCTGCTGTGCTGCCATGGTTTTGGAAAACAGATACTAATCCTGTATTGAATCTCCTACCATAATTCATTTGTACTCGCTTTGCAGTTTAACAATATTTTTTACTGATGTAAAGTTAAATGTTTCTTCAATATATAATTTGATCTTGTGCACATATACTTTCAACACACACATTCATAAAAGCCTCCCTTTTTTTTTTCTGGTTGATTAGTACCCCCAAGTACATGAGTGTTTCATGTAGATCATTATGTTCATTTCTCATTAATGTTAGTTAATTTTCTAGTTGATGTTGAACAGTCAAAATTCACTAGCTGAAACACGAACTTTTTGTTATTAATTTCTTTACCATACATTCAGAAAGTTAACACCTACTGACACGTTCTTTCATTACTCTCAATTAAATAGAAATTTCATTGATACTATGAAATTAATTTATAAAGGTACTTTATTAGAGTTCCTCTTGAGTAGATTTCATACATAAGAATACTACAGGTTTATCGTGGAGTACTATTTGGAACTAGTACAGGAAGACATGAAAGACTTGAGGTTCTAAACTGAAGTTGAACTATATGTAACTTAATACAATTATTATTTTTTGAATATTGCAGTATTTTATTTATTTGATAAAATCTCCTACTTGTTTATATTTTACTTAAAACTTGTGATTTGGAAATCTTGATGTGTTTCGTTGTTGTAGTTGTTTATTGATGTTTGTCTTTTCGGTGCTGTACCTTTTTATAGCAAATTAAAAAGACTTATTTTGAGTGGAAAGAGAGAATCATATCAGCAGAACAATAACTCAGGGAAGCTGAGCTTCGGCTCTAGATAGGCTGCCTGGCCTCCAGACCCAGATTATAGGTAGCCTTGGGGAAAATATTGAACTTTTTGGTTTTTCTTGATTGAAAATGAGATTACTAATAATTCTAAAGCTGTTATGAAAACCATGCATATAAAATGCCTGTCATCATGTTTACTGTGTTAAATGTTATCTTGTATTAGTGGTATACATTATGTAACTATTTAGCCAATAAAATTAAAACACCAAATGAGTCACAAATCCATTAAAAGGGTACTTCACTTTTCATCATTTTCAATTTTTCAGATGGCAAGTAGTGCTATTGCTTGTCTCCCACCAGCAGTGGAATGCTGCTTAATGCTAATAACTGACCCTCCTCTTTGCTGACATGATGAAAGTTATTGGGTTCTGGGACTTTTGAAAATACCAACTAATTTCCTTCTAGACTATGTTTCAGAGGCTAGCATTTACATGTGGTCTGAAGAAGCAGGGGAAGAACAGAAAACTCGGGCATGTGTTCTGTGGTGAGGTGCCTATAACATGGCCCCAGTAAAAGGAATGGGCCTACTGCTACTAGTCTCCAAGCTCTATTCACTTTGGTGGCAGAGCACTTAAACAAGGTTTCAGATTATTTTATTGAGTGGGTAACATTTATTGTTTGCTAAGTGACAAGAAAATTTGACACTCAAAATAGAACCCTGTAGGGGTTTAAGTGTAACACAGTGGTAGAGTGTGTGCTGACCCTGGGTTCTGTTGTAAATCCCATTCTACATATCAGGAAACTAAATCCTAGAGAATTTAAATATCATGCTTTTAGTTGTGTAGTTATAACATTTCACACTCAGGCAGTGAAACTCTTTCTCCTTAACTGCATGTTGTAGAGCTCAGTGAGAAGGCTCGCTGTCTCTTACCTTTCATGAACCCACTTAGGCTTCCTGTATATGCATTCAATTGGGTTAATTCTTTTCTTGAGTAAAGAAGATGAGTAGATTAATAAAATAAAATTAAAAAGAGGAAAGAAAACACAGGGACTCTGCTCTTGAGCTTATAATATAGATAGTAAAGAAAAGATAGAAGGCATGTAGAATAATTTAAGGCAGGATATAATTAAATACTGTGATAATCAGAGTCATTTAAGTCTTTGCTTGAATGACTCTACCTGCAAGATTATAAAACATTCTTATATGGTTTTAGAATATATAGACTACTGGCCCTATTCATCTGGTGAACAAAAAAAAAATTAGAGTGTATATAGTTAGAAGATTCATCTCAACATTAGTGAAATATTTTATATTGTGGGTACTGGTAGTATTGCAAATTATCTAGGGTTTTTTTTTTTAAATTAACTATTGTTAATTTTTCTTCTGTCTTCAGTCTTCTGCAGAGTTCTGACCAAGAAGTTGCAAACAAAGTCAAAGCTGGGCTGAAAAGCCTGATTCCCACGTTGGAAAAAAACAAAAGTAAAAGCAAAGGAATAGAAACTCTACTTGAGAAACTGACCACGTAGGTGGAAAGAGTTAAAAAAAACAATGGAATAATTTTTTCCCATTCTCTGTTCTCTTCCCAGCACAGAAAAGAATGGCAAGAGTCACCTTTTTGTAATTTGGGAGCTCTGTACATTTGTTTCTTCTTTGTATAAGAATCTGTTTATATAAAATTATTTCTAAAAATGGTCTTTATTTTTTAAATTACAGCTCTCTCATTTTGAGTAGTAAGCAGATCACAATGTGTGGCAGTACTTAGAAAGTTTAGAAATCCTATGTGGTTATATGGTGGGACCAAATATGTATAAAGTGAGGTTGAATGAGTTGGTTCAGGGGAGAAGACACCTTTAATGAGCATGTACTTAGGCTTCCTGGAGCAGTTGAGACTTGAGAGGACCATTGGTGCCAAAGCAAGCCAGAATATGGAAAAGAAGAGCCAACGGGTGTCTTTGGTGGGATCAGTTAGATGGGAATTAATGGTTTTGAACTGAAGTGTAGGAAGCCGTGGGGGACCCTTTAATGAGGGCATTCTAATTATTCTGTGGATTGAGTTCCATGTTAAGTTTTCTTTGAAAGTTACTTCGGTAAATTAAGCTCATTACAGGAAATGTGCTAGATGAATTAGAGGATCACAGTGGATAACAGTGTTAAGGTAAGGGTCACTGGGAATATCTCCCTGTCTCTGGATTTGGGTCTTATAAGTAAATAAGCTCCTTGTGATAAGACATTCTACCTTTGGATTGGCACTAAAATAGTCAAAAGTCTATACAGTAAAAGGCAAAAAGATACAAAATTGTTCTACTGCAGAAGTCTGAGTGCAAAGCATGTCTGAATGTTAATACTATAGTTGGCTCTGAACAGCAGAACTTAGAAGGGCAGGTAGGTCAGTGGGGCTCATGTAGCCATGCTGCTTTCAGTACATGTCTTGATTCTGTCTCAAGCAGTCTGATAAACAGGACACCCAGTCATGCCTGTCAACTGCATTTTACACTCCTGGAGAAGTGAGTGCAGCTTTCCTATCCAGACTGTGGGGTCCCAGTAGTACTCCTAACATAAAGCTGCCTAGACTTCATTACCCTCTCTCCTGCCAGGGTGTGTGAACTCTTCTCAAAGAACAGAAGAGTGAATACCTATAACTTTTCACACTTTTCTTCCTGACTACCACCCTCTGAGTCTCAGGGTATGGGGTGGGGCAGCTGGGGGAATTGGGCATTGTGTGAGGAGATGAATGGCGAGAAGGCTACATTACAGCTTGCCTTTTACTAATACATTGTGATTTATGTTCGTATAAAGGGCCCATTCAGAGGCTAGGGGCAGGACTATTTTTTTTTCATCTTTGAAAGTAAAAATATAAAATAACGTAAATAATTTAAAAAGCACTTTTGTAAAACATAAAAAGTGGCCACCTCTTCCACCCCCTCCTCAATATCCCTGTCTTATCCTCTCCAGAATGACTTCTAGTTTGTTATTAGCTGTGCCGTTTCTAAATATCGTATTTTTATAGTGTTTATTTTTAATCTTTCAGTTTTAGATGTTGTCTTCTGGCTTCCTATGGTAAAAAAATACAGATTAAGAACTTTACCACCACTAATCCTCCCCTTTCCTCTCACTTCCCAATAGAACTACATCAGTCAAAAGATTTATGATATTACATCTACAAAAATTGTTAAATATTGAATCAAGCAGTGAACTTTCATTTCTTCTGCCATTTTATTTTTCCTAGAATAAATCATTGTCTCATTTGTTTTCATTTACATAATTTTTTATTTTTTTTTATAACCAGAATTGCTTAAACTTCCCTCATAGGCTCCATTAACGACTACAGGATGGCCATTTTCCTCTTTTCTTTAGCCTAGTGAGATCCCTTGTTTCTATTTCTTTCCATGTGGATTAGCTATCCTGTTCCATGTTTTCCAACTAGTGTCTCAAGTGGGTTATAAATGTGAGATTACTTGCCCAACTATATACCTGTTCCCTTGTTTTGTGCAGAAAAGCACTGGTGTAAACTAATCCTGAGGCTGCATTCTTTAAGTCAGTGATTGATTTAGGAAGGAGCTCAGCCAGTGAACTGTGAAAGAGATGGTGTTCCTGGGAAAGGTTTCTAAGACCCTAGCCCCACAGGAAGAGTCCCTTCAGTGCAACCAGTGCCTGAGCTGTTGCAACATCTTGCAACCAAAAGAAAAGATAGCTAACAGTTACTGAGCAAGAGCTAGAAATAATCTATAACTTGATGATATTTAACTGCTACATAAATCAGCTGAAGCTGTGCTAGATGAAGATCTGGTTATATAAGAAAATAGACCCCCATTTTTCACTTAGGTAATTGTGAATTGGATCTTTAGAAACTTATGTCTAAAAGCATGCAATCTAACTGAATACTACATGTCAGTCAATTTAACATTTCCATTTCCTGTTAGAGACCTGTCCCCCGCCCCTGCCCCCAGCTTTCTGGATGTCCTAAAGAATGAGCTGTATGTCTAGCAGCATCTTCTCGCTCCTTGCCTTCATTTTCTCTGGTTTGTTTGATGCCATGCATTTTTCTTTCTTGCTCAACACATTTAATTGAATGGTCACAGGTTCTTATACATTCCAAATGCAAAAATACATGTGAGGTAACATTGTAAAGCCCTTCCAAGTCTAAAGGTTTATTCTACTTTCATACCCAGATATCTAGTTTAGCTGGGTATAGAATTCTAGCTTTAAATTAATTTTTTAAAATAATTTGAAGCATTGGGTTTTTTGTGTGTGCAAATCTGCACACAGAATGTGCGGAAATGCAGTACCATGTTACCAGTTTCATATGTGGCCTTTTGGGGAGGGATAGACTAATCTTCAAATTTACACTATTTTTAAAATCATCAGCCTTCTTGTATTTCAAGATTGTGTGGTATGTCATGTATGTCTGCTTTTCATTCTTCATGCTGGGCCCTTGGTAAACTTTTTAATTAGAAAAACCAAGCACTTCTATCCTGGGAAATGATTTTGTATTGTTTCTTGGATTTTTCATACCTTTTCTCCCCAGTTTTCATTTGTCCTTGTTTCAGGAGTTCCTGTATTTGGATCTTGAATGGTGGTCTGAAGCTCCAATTTTCCTCCTTTACTCCTATTTTTTTATTTCTTTGGTTTTTTGTTTTGCTTTCTGGGTGAGGTGTTTATTTCTTCCCCTTTGTCTGCCAGCCCTTCCAGTAAAATGTCTCATTTCTTGGATGTAGTCAGTATCTTTATGTCTCTGGGAATGTCATATTTTCTGATTGTTTTGTTTTACTTTGCTTTGCTCCTTTTCTGTTGTCTGCTCTTTTCTTTTTTCTTTTTTTGTCTTGGTGTTTGAGGCTTTGCAGGAGAGGTTTCTGGCTCTCCTTTTATGTTGTAGACACTGAAACTCATGGGAAGGAGGCAGGCTTTTCTTGTTCTCTGCTGTAGGATGTACTGTGTGGGTTTCTAGCTGTGGATCCTGCTGTTTTGCTGTAGTCCTCTAGATGTCAGTATTTGTACCCTCCTGAGAGCAAACCACCTGCAGCCCATGTTCCAGTTGCTTGGCACTCAGTGTGCAAGTTTTAATGAATCAAGTTGCTTTCATTATAGTTTATAGTTTCTCTTACATTTTCTCATACGTGGAGTCCTCTCATCTTGTGCAGTTGGACCAGCATAATTCCCCAAAATATGCCACCAGATTCTGCCAGTGTGGAGGGTCAAAGTTTGGACCAGCCCCCCAGATTCCTCCACCAGGACATGGCACATCTTGTACCTGGGATTCCGGGTGCATCATGCTGAGAATTGACTTACTTCTCTGCATGCACTGGTTATTCAGCTTTCCATTCTGCCACTTTCCCCAATGCTTTCTGTTCTTCCAGATAACTGTTGCCATTGCTCACCTACTGATAGCTTCTTTCCTGTTTACTTTGTTCCTGTGAGTTTATATCATTTTAATTTTTTTAGTTATGTCTGATTTTTTCTGGGAGGAACAAATAAATTTAACAATATTCCATTTTTAAGCAACTGTCTAAAAATGACTTTTAACAAACTAAAAACAACAGAACTGGTTTGTTTTGGGGGCTTGTTTTCCAAGGAAGAGCTTATTGGATTTGAGAATATTCTTAATTTGAAAACAGTTTATTATAGTCTTCACTTTGCATCAACTCCATTCTTTTTTTCCAAGGGTCAGATGTCTAGAAGGAAGGAAGGAAGGAAGATCCATTTTCCCTGTAGGTCTGACATTATAAACATTCACATACTGGAATAAGGACCCCTTGGAGGATATGATCCAAACTCAAAGGATTGGTGCTTTAAAATAGGAGATGGCACTTCTGTTTTTGTTCTCAGGGCAGTTTTGAAAAGTTATATCTTAATTTAGCAGATGAGTAAGTCTTGTAAGGATTAGGAGGTGTGTGTATTTGGAATAATGGTTAAGAAAACACAAGCTCTCAGAGCTGCTGCGCTTAGAAGGGAGCCAGTTAACAAAAGCTATTTCTAGACCAAAACTAATGAACTAAACAAACATAAAATACTACCACTTAAGCTCTTGTCGCCTCTCATATTGCTTAACTTAAGGAAACAAGCTTAAAATTATCTTCATTTTTTTCTAAATTTGAAACACCACCGAGGTACCCCAAATCTCCAAACTTTATTCTCTGATTTTTAAGATTTTGAGATGAACAGAGTCAAACAGGAGGTGCAGTGTGCTCTTTGACTTACCTGTCTTTTGTGAATAGTAACTAGATGGCTGCTCTGCATTCCAAAGTGTGCAGACACTGCTGTGTACATATTCTCAAAATGGTGTCTTGGAATACAATGCTAATGCTTCTCCTTCTGTCCCTATAAAAGAATGGTGTTTGGAGTCTTTCATAAAAATGAAAATGTTTCATTCATTTATAAAAATGTTTAATCCAATTGTAAGCTTGGACCGTGCCTTTGCTGAATGGAAGTGGACAGACAGAGCTGCAGAATGTGTGAAGGAAGAATTTTGGCCCAAGCTTCCCAGTTTTTAGGGAGTTAATCATAACTTGGTAGGAAATGATTAGCTCTTAGTAGTGCCTGATACGTGACAACTACTTGAATGGAAGGTGATAGGAGTCTGAGGTCATGAGAATCATCTGACTTTGTGCTCTTGATGACTATAATTAAGCATAATGAGTATTTAAAAATTTAAATGACTTCCAGATGCTTGAAAACAGACTTTCCTTTTAGATAGAAATTCTTTTGCGTTTAAAACTCATATTCAGATTGAAACATCTAGCAGTGAAGATGTAACTGCCTTGTTGCTGCATTCAGCTGGAGGTAGTAATGGGAATCTTAAAGACCAGTATAACAGCAGGAAAGCATTTTTGAGGAAATAGACAAGATGTAGGTTTTTCTTACCAAAACAACTTTTCTGCCCTATCTATTGCTCAATATCTAAGTCTAGTTCTAAATATAGATCTGATCAAATTCACTCTGCTGGTAATAATAATCCAATAGACATGTGTTTCTCTGGCTGGCATCTCTCTGGGGGTGGTTCTCCCATGTTTCAACATTGATCTTATTTGGGGGAGACTTATCTTAGCCCATGAATCATGACTCAGGTCTTCCTAATCTCAACACCATTCCTATAGCCACAGTGATTAGTTAATTTATGGTACTCTGATAAATAAATAACATCAAATCAGGATCTGGTGGGGAACATTGAGGGTTCTGGAACTTCTTTGATAAAAATAGTGAAAAATGTTGTTTCTTCTCCCAGAATCCCAAGCTCCTCAGACCCTGGTCTGGAGCAGCCTGCCTATATGTTTCTGCATGTCATCAAATTTGTTTCTGCATATTTTTTTCACATTTTAATAAATCAGGTGGTATATTAATGTGACATCAGTGGCATATTAACATGACCATTGTTTGATTGGCAACTTTTTTCATTAGTGATACATAAAATAATTGTGGACCTTAGAGTTAAAAGTGTATTTACAGTTGATAAAATACAATATTCTGCTTTCTCCTTCCTTTAAGTGTTTTCCAGGGTCTGTGTAAGCCTGCTTTGTTTTTCACCCCTCTAGAGTTTTTATTATTGAACCCTCCTTAGAGGTGAGCAAGGTTAGGATGAACTGTCTTCTGCAACACATTTGCACATGAATTACACTTCTTTGGAAGATGAATATCAGGTAAAATGAGAGGTTATATGGAACAGAGTATGGTTTGAAGCCTCACTCTATAGCCAGCTTCATGGGCAAGTTACATAACCTCTCTGCTTCAGTTTCCTCATTTATAAGATGAAGATAATATTTCACATCTTTGTAGATTAAACAAGTTTGTATGTAAGTACCTAAGCTGGGCCTGGCACAGTCAGGACTGCCTCTCAGGGCCAGACTTCCCTATGGGTAAGTAGAACCATGGGAGATTTGGGGGTTACCCCAAAGGCCCCTATGACAACTTGTAAATCAAAATTCTGATCCTTCAAGTTTTTACTATTGAATATTTCCAAGGCTCCTACCCCTATACATACCACAGTCAAACATGAGCTAAGCTGTCATTTTTAGCTAGGATTAAGAAAGGTTTGGCCTGGCACAGTGGCACACACTTGTAATCCCAGCAGCTTGGGAGATGAGGCAGGAATATAGGGAGTTCAAAGCCAACCGCAGCAAAAGCGTGGCACTAAGCAACTCAGTGAGACCCTGTTTCTAAATAAAATACAAAATAGGGCTGGGGATGTGGTCAAGTGCTCGAGTGTCTTTGAGTTCCATCCCTGATACCAAAAAAAAAAAAAAGGTTTGCAGGCCCCTTGCAGTCACTTCTGCCCACAGGTTAGGAAGCAGAGGTTGAATATATTTGAGCCCAAATAGTTTCCTAAAATGCAAGTGACTGGCAGGAATAGCACCTTTAGCTGTTCCCTGCCATAAAACCTTCCTGTGAAGTCAGCTTGCTTGAGAAGACGGCCAAGAGCTAGACTTGAAAGAGGGAGGTTTTTTCCTTAGGAAGGAGAAAGGGATAAATTGAGGTCACTTACCTAGTCCAACAAGTTATGTACAGCAAAGAAGTGGGGGCTTCCAGTTGTGTAGTGGTCGTGGCCTCCAGAGATTTAATTTGAGTCTGTGCCAGGAGAATGGGCTAATTGGGTGGTTATTTTTAAGTGAAATAGCCTTGGACTCTTGGAGAATGTGAAAATTACTTGCACTCTGCCAACTTGCTAGGCAGGTGATCTTGGTTTTCAGTTTCTTCATCTACAACAAAGCATCTATGGTCCCTAATTTGCACAGGGTTTCCCTGCGGTGCGAGTGGTTAAGAGCAAGGTGAAAAACCCCTAGAGTTTGCTTTCAGAAGTTCTGACTTTGCAGCTTGGCCCAGGTTCTGACCAGGAATGTGGGCAAGTCCTAGTCTTCAGAAACTCCAGTTTCCTAATTGTGGAGGTAGGGATAATACCTGAAAGTCTCAGGGCTGAGGTCAGAATCAAATAAGATTGTACATGTGAGGCAACTTGTAGAAGTTCATAGATTTTTGACTGTAGATGGATCAGATATTCCCTGACTTTTTTTTTTTTTAAGAGAAAGAATTTTTTAATATTTATTTTTTAGTTTTTGGCGGACATAACATCTTTATTTGTATGTGGTGCTGAGGATTGAATCCAGCACCTCGCATATGCCAGGGTAGCATGCTACCGCTTGAGTCACATCCCCAGACCTTCCCTGACTTGTTTTGCTTTCACATTTCATGGTTGTGGTTTATAGAGTAAACAACAAAAAGAACAACAAGCAAAAACCTCTACTACTAGGTAAAATTATGTAAAATCCAAACAAAAAGATTTGTACTATATAGACATTCTAAAGCACTATCTGCAGAGCCACAGGACAATTTTCTTTGCAGGGAGGGGCCATAAGTGGAATATTACCTGGAGTTGATCTAAGTTTGACCTCTTACTCCTGTAGTCTATCTTTCATTGAATGTGTCTATGTGTGAGTGTGTTTGTGTGTATAATTTTACTCTGTTGTTATCTTCCTTTGAACTAGCTTTACCTTCCTTGTTTTCTCATTAATGAGTTACATAAATCTTTCAGTTTATATTTGTACTTTTGACATTAGAAACTTGCTTTTTGTTTTTATATTGCACTTTAGATATAATTATGTTTTGTAAAGTTTTAGTACAATAAAACCCAGGAAATTTGTTCACTTCAACTGATAACATTAGGTGATGCCTCTTTCGTTAGTAGGACAGGCAGACTCCAGTTGCTATTTTGTTGTCACCTGCAATCATGATGTTACTATTCTGTGGAAAGCTATTTTGTTACGTTCAGATTGCATTTTCAAGTTTAGTTTGTCTTTAAGAAAAGCTTTTGAGATGTACAATTTTAGTTACTGCATAACATTAAGGCCTCTTACCAGATTGAGAATTTTTAGTGAAATTTTATAATTAAGCAAAGTGAGACTGATGGAAGAACTTCCCCTCTAACTAGAAGACAGCATCAAGTAATTTTGCCCATAAACAGTTTTGTTGAGAATTGCTTGAATCAAGAAAAAGCTGTGAAAGAAAAGGCAGACAACACAATAGGAAAGTTTTTTGTAAGTTGTAAGTGGGCAGAAAGTAGTGCTACTTCTGTGAAAATGAGCAGCAAGTTAAAAAGCTTCTCAAAAAGCTTCCTAAAGCAAATTTCTGCCAAGATCAGAAATAAAGTAAGACATAAAATTTCAGCAAGTGAAGAGGAATAAGTTTGCAACCCATGTTTAAGTCATCAATAAAAATCAAATGCAGAAAATAACTATGTCCTTCATGTGCTATCTCTTTAAATCTGTTTTCTTTTTTTAATTTATTAGATATCATACTTCTGTATACGTAATTTGTAAATATAAAGTCAACTCTGTAGATGCAACTACGCAGGGATTCAAAAACAAGTGTTTTTACTGAATATTACACAGATTTTTTTTCTTGTCATTTTCCTCTGAATAGTACAATATAAGAATTTGTATAGCATTTACTTTGCATTAGATGAGTAATCTAGAGGTGATTTAAAGTGTAACAGGGAATGCACTTTGTTATATGCAAATACTATTCCATTTTATGTAAGGAATTTGGGCATCTGTAGATTTTGTCATGATTTCCCCAGTGGGTCCTGGGAATTGGGGGATGGATGTATTTCACCTTCATGACCCTTTCAGTGGTACAGATGCACCCACTATCTTCATTCTGCCTCTTGCCTTCCCTTGGGTATGCCAAGAATTTGGCCAGTGGTGCAGAATGAACTAAGGAGACAAAGGATGGGCAGTTCAGGCCAGTAGCCTCTGCTAATGAGAGCTGAAGGAGTATACACCCCTCTCCAACCTGGGCTGCAAGGGTGAGAGAGATTTTCTGACTTTTCCCATAGCAGCAGGTAATACCATGATTTGAATCTGTCATATTATAGATACTACATTTGGGATAAAATGAGAGACAGCCTGATAAAAAGCTTATGAATCTGACTTGGGAATTTTGATACAGTGAACAGATCTATTCTAGTCATCACCTAGCCAATAAGCCAATGGTGACCCAAGACGAGATATTTAATCTTTCTTGGTCTTTCCTCCATAAGAAGGAAAGCTTGGAAAATCTCAGGTGGTACTTCACGTAAGAGACTTGAAGTCCCGGCTTTCCCCTAGGTGCAGCAAGAGCTGCGTAGGGCAGAGCAGATGGAGGTATTGATCCATCACCTGGGCTCCAACTGAAATGTCCCCAATTACATCTGTTTACTGTGTACAGATTTAGAGCGAGACTTCCTTTTGTAACAGGGTTCTGCTGTTAAAAACAACAAACGGGGCTGGGGATGTGGCTCAAGCGGTAGTGTGCTCACCTGGCATGCGCGGGGTGCTAGGTTTGATCTTCAGCACCCCATATAAAAATAAAAGATGTTGTGTCCACTGAAAACTAAAAAATAAATATTAAAAAATTCTCTCTTTTAAAAAAAAAATGAAAGTAAGGAAACCACTGACCGCTGTTACCTCCAGTGTTGTCCCTAGAATAAACAGTTCTCCATTGCCTGATTGCAGTGACCTGCATCCTGTCCTTGGTCCTTTTTCTTTCTGCAAACAGTATTGGAAAGGAAACATTAGGCTGGAGGCAGGTTTCCCATGATGCCAACAATCCTAAACATCATAGTCCCTCCCTTGCTGGGCATTCCAAAGACCACTTTCTAATTTTGTGTTTATAATTTAATATTTTTTAAAGAAAATTTATCTAAAAATTTAGTCTCCAGAAACCCTGGATTTTCCTTGCATTAACACTGTGCTTCTTGATATGTAGGCTCCCTGCAGACCTGTTTAGTGATCTGAAAACACATCTTGGCAGCAACTCAGGAAGCTGAGACAGAGGGTCATAAGTTTGAGGTCAGCCTTAGCAACCCTGTCTCAAAATAAAAAAGGACTAGAAGTGTAGCTTAGTGTAAAGCATCCCTTGGTTCAGTGTTCAATACAAGGAGGGGGGAAAAAAGGCTTTAAAAATGTATCATAGAATAAGCTAGCCATTTGAAGTGAAATGGGGGTGGTTTTGCAAGCTCAACTTTACCAAGTGATGGTGAAACCAATTTTGTTCTTTGTAATGAGGACAGATATAAACTATCAGTCATTAGCAAAATGTTCATCTCCTCCACCAACACTTTTCATCAGAGTGTCATACCCGAGAGTCCAAGAAATGCATGCTCTGGAGATAAACTGCCTGTGTTGAAATTCTGCTCCATCACTTTCTATTTAGGTGACATTAGGCACACTAACCAACTTCTTCAAGTCCCAGATTTTTCATCTATAAAATGAGAATCAATCCGCCATAAAGTTGGAAAGGAGAAACAAAATAGTGTTGCATCATGCACTTAACACAGTACTAGACACATAAAATGCACTCACAAGTTAGTTTAGTTTTCTGTATTATTGTTGGGCGATTAGTTAAGGCAGAAACTACTACCTCAAAACCTCAGAAACAGAGCCTTGATTTTTTTTCAGCTTTCTCCACAGAGAATGCTTTTTGCTAGTGAGATATAAGAGAAAGTATTGTGCTTTGCAGAAAGTCCTGCTAAAGGAGTCTGAATGCCTTTCTTTCTGTCTTTTCAACCTGAATGTAATGGTTGGAACTCCAACAGCTATTGGATCCTGTGGATAGGTTTGTATCCTAGGGGTGAAAGTGGTGAGCAAACAGCTGGATCCCTAACTTCATGGAATTGCTATACCAACCTTAGACTGTCTTAATTTTCAAATTCTTTTAGGGTAGTGGTTCTTAAATCATCTGAAGGACTTGTTAAACAGATTTCTGTACCCCCAAAGTTTCTGATTCAGTAGGTCTGGTTTGCAGCCCAAGATTTTACATTTTTTATAAGGTCCCTGGAGATGTGGATGGTCCTCGTCCAAGACCACATTTCTTTAAGTCACTCCTATTTGGGGATAAACTGTTATTAAAAGATGAATTTAATACATTATTTAAGTTTTATAACTCTTACTGTTCTGGTAAGTGGTAAAAAGCAAAGTGGTTAAATGGTACTCAAAGTCAAGCAGAAAGCCAAGGTGAATTGCATATTGAATTGTAATCCTCTGCACCATTCATTTAGCAAATGAATATATAGTAGGCTCACCCTTACTATTTGGTAGGCATATACAAAGATACTCATAACCAATGACTGCAAGAGAGAAGTAAGCCAATGATTTCCTTCATTTTGGAAATGGGGAGGGCACAAGAACACAGAATGGAGGTCCTTAGAGACCATTAAATGCAGTAGTGAGCAACCCTCCCTGCATATTAGAATGACCTGAAGAACTCTGAAATACTTCTACCTGGACATTGCCTCCAGAGATTTTTATCTCGGTTATCTTTTGCAGATCTGGCACAGGATTGTTAAAAGTTCCCTTGATGAATCTAAGGTGCATCTAAGGTTTGACTGATTTAGCCCAACCCAGAGAGGTTAGGTGGCTGCCCCAAAGTGACTGACATAGAGGGTCAGAGGCAGGTCTGCTGCCCAGTGGAATGCTCTTCAGGTGCCCAGCTGATTCTCAACCTACCTGAGGCTGGGTGTTTTGCCAGGTTAATTCTCCCTCGCCTGAAATTATCAGTGACACGGGAAGTGAGGGGCTGTGAGCCTGTGTCTGTGCTCAGCCCAGGGATAGCTCAGCTCGATGCAGCTCATCAGTTTCCCTAACAAGATTCTCCTTGGTGACAGCAAAACAGATCATTTTAATTAGCATTAGATAATGAATTTAAACTGCATTGCAGTAATTCCAGATTCTCCCTTAACTGCCCTAAATAACATCATGCAGGAGGTACTCTTGTGGGATTTATTGTTAAAAAATATCAGTAGTAAGAACACAACTGAAAAGCCTTTTGTGGGATTATTTTCCCTGACTTTTCTTTGAATGTACAGTGAGTTTCTTTGAATGTACACTGTCGCAACTGCAGAGGCATTGATGTTATCTGGTGTCTCTGCTCCTTGCCTATGTGCACATCTTCTGATTGACTTGTCCCTGCTGGTACAGGAAGTGATCTGTCTCCTAAGACACTCCATCCATTCTGAAGGTCTTTTCTTATGCTCAGCTGACAATGTCCCTGTACCTTCCACCTTTGTTCCCAATTCTGTTTTGAGAATTCATTCTCTGCCCTTCTGTGTCAAGGGAACAGGGAAACATCTCTGGGGGTACCAGGCAGGATTTGAATAGATGTTGTGTTTGGGATGAATACCGCTGCTGTTAGGGCTGTTTCTGAAGGAACTAGGAAAATAATGCATTGTCCCTGTGGCCCTGAAATATCTTGCAAATAGATTCCCTTCTCCTGACATTTCTATGGAATTGGTAATGGATATTTTTTATTCATGTTTCTCTGAAAAAAAAGGAAAGGAAAAATCTTGAACACTTTTCAGCCACTAGGCCATGAGCATGCTCATCTTATTGTGATTATCAGTGTCTCCTAGCCCATGTTCTGATTTAGTCAGGGGCTCTGCCTTCTTGTCCTAGCCTGCCAAACCTCCCTGTGGACAAGCTGTTTCATCACTAGGCCTTGGTTAGTGATGGATTCCATGGTGTCATAAGTTAGTAATATGAAATTGCATGAGCTCAAAAATTCTGGATTCCCATTTTGTTTCTTTTGAGCATAAATTTCATAAAGTGAGACAACAAAGGAGACAATCAATGGATAGCCTTGTTACCAGAGTCTTAAGTCAGAGGCCTTACTCTGTGGTCCCAACAAACCACGTGTGGCCACTCCAAAAACCAAACAGAAAAGGTAATGGTGCAAAACAGGAAGAGAACTTTAACCTATATGACCATGCTGGGAAGACAAGTTGGCAGCCAGCATCTCAGCCCAAACTTCAAGGTGTTGACAGGAGTTTCTAAGGTTTAAATAGAGAAAAAACTGGGACAAGGAGTGAGAGTTAGGCATAATAAGCAGTCTTGGTCAGACTGCTTTTCCAGTTGATCAGTACTTCAGTTCTGATTCTATAAGGTAGCTCCAGAGAAGTGTTTATTGCTTGAGGGGGTGATTTCTACTTGCTGCTCAGGATATTTATTAGACCATGAACCTGGAAGGGGGAAATTCAGTTCCCATGAAATAACCACTTCTGCTTTGGGGCACAGTTTCATTATGGGGTGATTTATAGGAAGGTGTAGCACAACTCCTGAAGACTCCAGATACCAATCCAGAGGTCTAAAACAGGATGCTATAAAAGCTGAGTCAAATGTCTCTGCAAATCTCTCAGTATTGAAGGGGGACGAAATAAGTTATGTAAATTCAGGGCTAATAAACCTTGTATTACTAGTT